GTAGATAGTTGTATGTCATAGTTGCACATCCTTCTAGTTGCTGTATGTGGGACTCGGCCTCAGCATGGCCGGAGAAGTGGTGCGTTGGTGCGCGCCCGGGATCCAAACCAGGGCCGCCAGTAGCGGAGCACGCGCACTCAACCGCTAAGCCACGGGCCGGGCCCTGCTGACTATTCTTTGATCCATCCTTGAACCTAGGCCTCTGGTTAATATCCCAGCATCACTGGCTTTCTGCTCTGACAGGGCTTTTTTGAGTTCTAGAACCAGCAAGGCATCTCTGCTCTGACTTCAAATCCAGACTTTGTTGGCTTTTACACCATCAAAACCCCCTTTGATCTGAATTCTCACATGAATATCTCTTAATTAACACAACATGACATGCTCCTTATCCAACCAAAACCCAGAGCTTTTGTTAGCTATTCCACCATAGGTGCCCCTCTGCCCTGACCTCAAACCCAGAGCTCTATAAACTGTTCCACCTAATTGGCCCTCTGGTCTGACCATGAATGGAGACTTCTGTTAACTATTCTAACATCAAGGCCCTCTGATCTGATTTTCAACTATTCTAAGATCCCCACCTCTCTGATTTGACCTCCTCTAGTAACAATTCCACCATCAGTGCCCTTCCGGTCTGCCTTAAAAATAGGAGTCTCTGTTAAGCGTCCTCCCATCACTGCTCCTCTGGCATGACCTTGAACCCAGACCTTCATTTCATATTCTAACTGAAAGGCCCCTCTAGTCTCAAATCAAACTCAGACCTCTGTTAATTCTTCATCCAAGAAGGCCACACTGGTTGCACCTGGGCATCTGGGCTTCTCTTTAGCTATTCAACCTTCAATCCTCTCTGATCTGACTTTGAATCCAGTCCATTTTAACTCTTAAACCACAATGCTCCACTGGTCTGACCTCAGACCCGGTCCACTATTAACCACTATGACATCAATGTCCTTCTGGTATGTTCTCAAAGGTAGGATCTCTTTTATTGTTGTTCCACCTTCAATGTCATCCTGGTCCCTAATCAAAGCTTTTCCAATATCCTTTCTCTCTCATCTGTCTGATTAACCAGGACTTGTTTACTCTTCCATATTCAAAGAGTTACTGGTCTAATTATCCAACACAGCCATTTAGCTATTCCAAAATCCCTCCACTTCAGGCCTGACCTCAAACCCAGTCCTCTGCTAAATATACCACTGTCAGTTCCCCTCTGGTTTGACCTCAAACCCAATTCTTTGATAACTGCACTGTCACCAGTGCCTCGTGGGTCCGTTGTTGAACTTACACAGTTATCTCTTCCAACATCAATGCTCCTATAATCTGAACTGAAACCCCAGGCTCTGTTAACTATTCTAGAATCTATTCCCCTCTTGACTGACCTCAAACCCAGGTCTTTATTCAGTTGTCCCCATCCCTGTTTCTCTGGTCTGACCTTAAACCAGGGCTTCTCTTAACTGTTACTGTGAACGCCCCTCTAGCCTGAGTTCAAGCATTTGCTAACAATTTTAACATCAACATCACTCTGTCTAGATATTCAAACAGAACAATTGTTAACTAATTAAAAATCCTGGCCTCTC